CCTCGACTGTAAAATGAGAACTGGGGGGAGAAAACTACTAATATTTATTTCAAAATATTGCTGTCAGAATTAAACGAGGTCGTTACATGTAAAAAGCTTAGAATCACATAGCTAAGAAAGTGCCTGACGAGAATTTTAATAATTTCACCGTCTGCTAAATAAGAACATGAAAGTTCAACAAAGAATGGTTAGGCTTCGGTCCTCAACAATAAAACCAGAAAGAAGAGTAAAAGATTTTCAAGGCACGCAAGAGGCACGTTTACCCCCAGAGCAGTCACTCGACGGCCGGCGGAAGGGGTTGCGTTAGGCACACTCACCGATTTGTGAGGGAGTCAGGCCCTTTTTGGCCAGTTTGTAAATCTGCTCCTTTACGTCGTCAGACGTCAACTTCAGCCACTGTTTATGGAATAAAAAACCGCCTTAGATGAGAAACCAAGGATGGCGGCTAAGTACGGCGGACCTCTCCACCCTCAAAGTCGCGCTCCTCCCGCATGCAAGCCCCCACCCCGGCGCCGCTTCCCCCGAGTGACGAAAGCCACCGCCTCCCCGGCTTCTCCCGCGCGCTACTTACGGTGGGGACGCTGCGGCGATAGGGCAGAGCCGACTGGGACAGGCCCTTCCTGGGGAGAGAAGTAGTCTCGCGGTGAGGTGGCGGCCCGTGCCACAGCAGCCCGGAAGGTCATCCCCTAGACTCGCTGCCCACCTCCCACCTTCCCCCCCACCCCCGCGGCCCAGCCCCGCAACCGGGCTCGGCGCCCAGCTCTCACCCCGGAGCATGCATGCGACCCATGATGGCGGCGGGCAGGCAGCAAAAAGAGAGCGAGGCTGAAAACGCCACAGGAAGCTACCCACCACGCAGGAAGTGACCTCACACGTCTAGGCGCGTGCAGGAGGCGGGGCTACGCTGCGCAGCAGCCGGCGCCGGCGACTACCTATCCCGAAATGCACTTCAGCGTGCGTAAGACTCCGCAATGGGGCACGCTTCCGTCTTATTCGAGCTCGTGGTCCGAGCAAGGGGGAAACTGATCCTTACGGCAGCTTCCAATCAAAGTTCCCTACCTGCAGGCACGTTTTGAAAGAGGTGCTGCCGGCGCTGAGATTGTACAGGTTCAAATCCTGGGCCAGGAGTGGGCGCGCAGCAGATAGAGCTTCAGGGATCAGCCATACAGAGTTGTTCATTCAGCACCGCCAGGCCTCGCCTTGGCACTAGATCTCGTAGAGTCTGCCCTGCCCCTAGTAAATTCACAGGTACAATACCATGTGATAAATGCTACACTACAAGTAATGGTAGTGGCTGCCGTCCAGCCAGCGCCTCCATTTCTTACCTCTAAATCCTAATCTAATCTCACGGAGGAGAGAGCACTGACAGTAAAGAACCGGCCTAAGGATTTGAACCAGACCCTGGCGGACCCCCGCCGCCGGCAGCGCTCTTTCCCTTAACGCAGGGCTCGCCTGGGAGGAATGCCGGGCCAAGCCTCGTGGAGCCCCATATCCAAGTGACTGAGAGTTGGCGGGCAGGTTAGAGCTTTAGGAATAACGTTGCAAAAGCCAGGAGGATGAGGGAGAAAAAGAGGCGTTTGAAAATCCTAGGAAAAAGGAACCAATGAGGAAGGTCTTATAAAATTGACCCAGTGCTGGTACAGAACATAGCGTTGAAAAAATGAACGAATGCAGCAGTTTGTTAAAAAAAAAAAAAAAAAAAACATGGCCTTGGAAGGAGTGAGATCAGTGAAATCAACAAACTCCTGTTGACAAGTGTAAAGTACTTGGTGAGAAGTTGAAAGAAACTCTAGGTACTAAAACGTCTATCTACTCCACTTTCAGCCTATCACTATGATGAATAACTTTCCAAAGCATTAGAGAATTTCAGTAAGATTGGGTAGTCTGTTTTTCCTAGCAAAGATGCATTCTTATCATTAGCCAACTTTACATTTTTCAGCCAGATATGGAACCCAGCCTGATGGAGTTTGCATGTGTTGTCCCCTCCAAAACTCATGTGGAAATCTGATCCCCAATGTGGCAGTGTTGTAAACTGATTGAGTCATGGGGGCGGATCCCTCATGAATGGATTAATGCTCTCCCTGGGGGAGGAGGGAGTAATGAGTGAGTTTTTGCTCTATTGGTTCCCGCCAGAGCTTATTTATAGGACCTGGCACCTCCTCTCTCTCTTGCTTCCTCTCGCCATGTGATCTGCTTGCACCCGCTGGCTGTTGCCGCTTTTCCACCATGAGTAGAAGCAGCCTGAGGCCCGTGCCAGATGCAGCGGTCCCAGAATCGTAAGCCAAATAAACCTCTTTCCTTTATAAATTACCCAGTCTCAGGTATTTCTGTTATAACAAAACAAAACGGACTAAAACACAGCCCCTATATTTTTTTATTGAGGTAAATTCAGACCATGAAATTCACTATTTTAACCATTTTAAAGTGTACAATTCAGTGGCTTTTATGACACTCACAAAAGATATTCAGAACTAAAGAAAGTTACTGATCCACAAATTTAAGAATCTTAAATAGAATAAATAAGACATCTACACTTCAGCACATCTTAGTTAATACAGATCAAAGTTAGCCCTAAGCTAATAATTGTTGAAGCTGTGTGATGGATTCGTTCATGAAGTTCATTATACTGTTGTCTACTTTTGTATATGTTTAAAATTTTCAAACTAAAGATTTTCAAAAGAGTAAGGAGGAAACAAAGACCTTTTTTTCCTGACAGAAACTGTCACCCCCAAAACTGGCTCTAATTGTTTAAGTTATTGCTCTTTCATGGTCTCTGGGTCCTTTTACATATCCTAGAATCAAAGAACCACAGCCTCATGCCAGTATCATTCCAGGATGAAGAGATGATATTAGAAGTATCGACATTTCTCATTTCTGTAGATATGTGTATGATGTGGCTATTGCTGCACTACTACTTAATATTTAAGTAAACTGTCAAAGGCCAGGGACCATACTCACAGAAGCATTTCACTTCTAAGAAATGCTGATGGGGCTGTGTATCAAAGTGGTAGCAATCTAGACTTTCAAAGAACCACACTGAGAAGTCAGACTCTATTTTGGACATTTTTAGGAGCAACTGACAGGCCGGTTCTGAAATTCTGAGGTTACTGAACCTAATAAACTCCTGGGTAAGATGCAAAGAACAGCAACAGTGAGTTCATAGCAAAATTTGGAACCAAAGATGTGAGTATGCCAATAAGGAAAGAGATGATAGCAGGGTTCTTTTATTCCAGAAATATTTTAATACAATCATAGTACAGTTATGAAGTCACATTCAATTCACTGAATATATTCAAGGTATTAATAAAAATATTATACATCTTTATTCACTATCTTCATATAATTAAAGTATTTGGTTCTTACAGATAATAATTAAGACTAATTACCATATTCATACATATTTGCACTACTAGTCAAACAGCATGTAGGTAAATCTATGGATTATGATAGTGGGGCTTCAGTCCTTTTTGATCTGTAGTCTAAGTATCAAAAGTGAATGTTTTCTTTTTTAAATGCCACAATACTTGAATCCTAAAAAGAACAGTTAACCAATTTAAGGCAAAATATTGAAACTTTTATACAACTTTAATTTGAAAAAAGGAATACTTTATCAAAGATCACATATGCCTTAACATTTAGATACCTATAGATTCATATAAAGTCAGTAATAAAAATATCAGTGCAAGTTCTACATTGGGTTCCTCAGTAGAGAAAATAATGGGTTCTTAGAGTAAACCATTATCTTCATTCCCAAAACACTGGCAAGAGGAAAGAATTCTGGAGCAGGACTTACATATAGCATAGTTATTTTTAGTCAGTAAAGATAGGTATAAAATATTGTGACTATACATAAAAATTAGTGTCTTAGCCAGTTTGTTTAAACTTCTGTTTTTCAGTTTTACGTTAATGTAAGCTTTTAAAAAATGTTTAAAAATCCAACTGATTTAACATTAATAGTAGTACTAATCCAAAGAGGGTCCCCTCCTTTTTAAAAAGATTTTTTTTGGTATGGGCTGAAGATTAGCATTTCACAAAGAAATAACATATATTAAACTGTGTAAAATATATGTGTGTGTTTTAATGACCAAAGGCACAAAATGAGTTAAATAGAGAGAAAACATTACCACTTGCTTTGAACTCTTGGTAACTGTACAGTATGAATCATAATGTGTACTTTTAGATATGAATCCAGATTTCTTATAATTGAAAAGTGACACCACATTTTCTAGCTCTATTATTTGTGCTAAAAGACACTGCTATAACACTGCAAAAAGGCAGTACGTGTTGAGTCCAAGTAACAATGACCTTTTACCAAGACAGTACTTTTTTTTTTCTCAACAGTGGCTAAGTGACAACTTATGGAATGGAATTAGGTCTCAAAAGCATAAGTGACAATTTCTAGTACTTTACATTTGCAAAGCTACTTACACAGTTTAAGGAAATGTTAACTGTATATGGAAAAAGCAAATGGTGGTACATTTATCTGCATTTTAATTAACTTATTAAATAGACAACACATTTTAACATAAAAAAAAGACATTCATATATCATACTCATGGGTTTAACTACAAATGGACCACTAGTGTTAGGCACCAAAAATTTCAAGTTTTATTTTTTTTTCCCAACCTGTTCCACTGCCATATCCTCAATTCTTTTATTTCTGTTTTGCAGGTATCACACCGTTTACATTAAACATTTGCACAGTTCATAAAAATTCTGTTCTGGGCAACTGAATTGGAGATTGTCCTTTCTCTCTTGCTACTCTTCATTGCATATTTTGTCAGTTTCCTCACAGCAACCAGATTGCTACAATCTCTATTACCATTTAAAAAGTATCTGAGGGCTGGCTGGTCAGCTTACTTGGTTAGAGCATGGTGTTGGTAACACCAAGGTCAAGGGTTCGGATCCCCATGCAGGCCAGTCACCAAAATAAAAAGTATTTGAACTTCTATTCTAATCATGAGAGTTACTATATATACATATTTATTAAAAGTAAAACTTATGTCTGAAGTTGAATAACTATTAAAAATGGATCTTATTCTTAATGGTTACTGTATAATAATTTCAATCCTGTCCCTTACGATTCTGAATCCCATTAAGGAAAATAATTCTTTCGTGTAAATGTACAATGTTTACATATGTAAGACAATTTATAAGATTTTTTTCCCATAAAGGTATATAAATTCAGTCAGGACCCTAGAATTCTTGTTCTGGGCCTCTTGTGAAGAGTATGCCCTACTCAGGAATGGGCACATGGATAAAAAATTTTCACTTGTTTAATGAGGGAGTAGAGTATAGATATATGGAGGTGAAATTACCAAACTTCGATTCACACCCCTGGGAATAAATGTAGGATTATAATGGAATGATGGAATCTACTGTATAACTATACTGATGAATCTCATTCAGTTACTGGGCAACCAAAACTAAATCAAATGGCTTGACTGTTTAAATAAGTCACACATCAGAAATAAATGATTTATTTGTAGGAAAAACATTAATACTTATACACTATTTCTTGTCTTTAGTAAGTTGAAAGTGAGTAAAAACTACTTACTAATTATTTATTAAATCAGAAGAAAAAAATCAGAAATGAAGTGCCAGGGAAGCACATAAAGTTAAGGCACCATTATTTACAACTTCAGTGATTGGCACTTACTCTGAAAAAGACTTTAAAGACATGAATAAAAAGCAATATTATATTTTCCCCACTTCTACAAACTACTTAGTAGTTTTAACATAGCTACCTATTTGTGCTTTGCTTTTCAGCCCTGTGAATAGCAGCTGTATTTTATGGTAATATCCTGCATCTTTCCTTTACTTTGGTGTTTGTGAATATACACAGTGGTGAAGGCTGTAAAAGGTGCATAAAAGGAAAACAAATATGCTGTGTCTATATAGGAAACAATGCAAAATAGTGGCTGAAATGACATAGTATTGTCTCAAAGTCTTTTTCAGAACATATTATTATATATTAAGTTTAGGGTTTGTAGTATTCTACATAATGACTTTAAAACAGCAATGGCTTCCTAAAATTCATAAAGGTCAGTTATGTGACTGTTGGTCCAAAAGATGTGTTGAAACGCAGCAAGTACATTTAACTTTATAATTTCTGTTCAAGTATAAAAACACTATACAATGTTCACAAGTGTGTGCACACACACGCTTTTGACTGTTCTTGCTTCCAAAACACAGAAATTCACAAGTAAGTTGCTGCAGTCAGCTGATACCACTTAACTGTCTCTTTGCTCAAGTTGAAATCTTTCAAAGCCAGGGTTATTCCACCCAAGAAAAAATTCTCCCGCAGAGATTCTGCACTAAGTACACTTAGTTGAAGTTCTCTCTGTCTTAGGGTTTCTTTGCTATATCCACTGTACACAAGCTACAGCAAAAGAAACAAGAAACAGTAAATTACAAATTGAAGTTTGTTTGGTTTCCTGGGAATATTTTAAATGAAAATGTAAGTAAGAATATTAGCCAATCAATGACTCTAATGAATGACACTGATTATGACATAAGTGGTGACATTTGTCTCAATACTTTAGAAGCAAATTTTGTATTTCAGGAGTCTTGGATTATATAATCATTCCTGTGAATGTCTGACATAGAGATATACAAAGCAGGACCAATCATTGGCTAAAAAATAAAAACTTGAAACATGGTTTTTCTGAGACAAAGGTGACGGGGAAGGAAAAAGAAAATGACATGGCAGTATACCTCAAGACAATCTAATAGCTGGGAAAACACAAAATGGGAAGAAGCAAGTTGGGATAGCATAATTATAATTATTTTACAAAAAAAGGAGGAATTAAAATTTCCTTTTGTTGGGGCCGGCCCGGTGGCGCACTGGATAGTGTGCCGCTTGGGAAGTGCGGCGGCGCTCCCGCCCGAAGGTTCGGATCCCACATACAGACCGGTTCCCGCTCACTGGCTGAGCGAGGCGCAGGAGCAACACCGAGGGTTGCGATCCTGTTGCCGGTCCCCGGTCCGGTACGGGGGCAACACTGAGGGTTGCAATCCGTTGCCGGACACGGAAAAAGACAAAAGACCAACAAAAAAAAAAATTTCCTTTTGTTGTCTTTTTTCTGTTGGATTTTATATACCATGAAGTGATAATTTCTGATTATATGTTAACTCAATAGAAACTTGCCAACTAAAAATGCAGTTTGCAGCAAATCTGGAGTGCTACAAAGCTATTCTGTTTCAAACTCTCATTGCATTCAACACTTATAACTTTTATTTTTTCAGAAAGCCTCACCAAAGTTCTGAGAAACATCAGCTTAATCTAGTCCTTCTCACTGTTTGACTAAAACAAAAACAACAAAAAAAAACCCAACAAACAAAAAAACAAAAACAACTGACTACATTTCATTTTCTTGACAGCACAACACTAAGTAATAAAAAAAGGCAATACTACTGTTTGAGAATAACAATCAGTCTTTATCAACCATTGAATTATTTCAACAACAACAAAAACCCCAACAAACAAAAAAACAAAAACAACTGACTACATTTCATTTTCTTGACAGCACAACACTAAGTAATAAAAAAAAGGCAATACTACTGTTTGAGAATAACAATCAGTCTTTATCAACCATTGAATTATTTTAATGAGGTGAAAGGATCTTCTATAAGTTTTAGCAAATTTATAACCCAGATGAAAATTCAGAATTATTTGCTTCCAATTCTAACCAGACATTTTTTTGTGGATATAATGTTAATGTACACAAATAATATGTTTATCTTAAAGAAGTAGTTAAAAAGGAGGAGAGGAGGACCTAGCAGGTTTAAATACGTCAGTAAGTGTATATGCTGACCGTGAGTACCTCGGCAAAGTCACAGTTATGCTCCACACTGTTCAACTGATGCTTTGCTTATTGCTTTCAATTTTGAGCACTGAATTTTAAGCGGGTTCCTGAGAGAGTAAAACATTTGAAGGAGAATGATTTTGAAACTATGTCCTATCAAATGAAGACAGAGCTGCTACAGATGTTCTGGAAGAATAAACAAGGAAAGGCATCTGAACTACAAGTATCTGAAGGCCGGCCTTGTACAGAGTGGTTTTGTGTGGCTCCAAGAGGTAGAACTGAGACAGCACAGGTGACTACTGAGAGTCAAGATTTCAGCTCAGTATAAAAAATAATCTAAGTGCTAGAGCTGCCCAAGACAAAGTGGATGGTCTGGAAGTATTTAAGCACAGATTAGACAGCCACTTTGACAATATTGTAGACAGGGTTCATGCACTGGAAAAGTAGCTAAATCATGGCTCCTAAGATCTTTTTAAAACCTATGAATCTATAATAGAGGGTTCTATTCTATATCTTTTTGTTAAATACCACTGGACTGTTATTGATTTACTTTGTACAATAAATAGCTCAGCAACTGATACCTAAAAACTTTCAATTTACAATGTTTTAACATTTAAAATCTCAAAACAAAAAAATCTAGGAAATTTTCAGAAACGATTTTAACTTACCATTTCATTGAATGTCGGATTCCTAGTTTTTCGTGAAATTTTGGTTTTACGTTTGGATGTTTTGTGGGTATCTGGAAGTAGGTAAGTTTTGACATATGGATTTGGGTCAGACCCATCTTCAGTAACCTATAAAGACAAGCAGTCCCTTAACAGTAATGCTTCCTACCAAGGTATAGGTTTCCTCTACAATCATTATTTGTAATCACTCACAAGATCTTTGATGTGCATCACCATGATGAAAAGAGTACCATTTCTGTAAGAGACTGATAATTTTACTGCTCCTCCTATTTGGCCTGGAGTAGGACTGAAGGGAACTGCATCTGAAAATGTAAACATTTTCATTTTTGTTTTATTCTACACTTGCAGTGGCTCAAACTGCAACAAAAGAATTTTGCTTTACTTCCAGGACCATTTCATATGGCAAGGGGAGTGGGGAAAGAATAAAGTTATGGTTATCCAGAAATAGACTGCTTTAGAAGGAATACCCTCCTCCCATTCTTACTGACTACAGCCAAGCCCACTGTCACTCTACCACATTCATTGAGAAGTTACATACTTGTAGGTCAGGAGTTACTAACAAAGGAAAAAAATAATCTCACCTGCGGACCTAGCTATTCCTTCAGCTTTTTCATCACGAAGTAAAGGGTGGAAAAAGGTATAAACAAGATCACACTAAGATTGAAGACAAAAAAGATTCATTAGTTAAAAATTATGTAGCACCAAAGATACAGTATGCTATTACTTCTCATTTAGGAAGGTCACCTCTGCTACATCCGTTGAAGCACTCATCAAACTCTGTAAATAACTGTTCAACTCAATTTTCCTTTTGGCTGCTACATCTTTTATGTGTGTTCTTCCTAGAACCATCCTATTAGGAAAACTACAAAAGAAAAAGAAAAACAAGTGGGATTTAAATTATTTCCTCCGGAAGTATTTGTAAATCAAGTACAATATTTACTTAGAGATACACTTTTTTATGCACTTACAAAGTAAACGCTTAATCCACTATAAAGTAATTTTTTGTGATTTCTCTTCAAAGTACTGGAGATGAAATAGTTCAATTAGTTATTATCTTTTTGTGAGCCATGGTACAAAAGATGCATATCTTGCTAATTTCGTATATTTATTACTTATTTTCTACTATTTCTTCTCAAATTTAATCATTCACAAATATTTTATCTAGATCTGATCTCTAAAAGAATCATTATTCAATCAGCCATAGCTACTGCAGACGCCAGTAAAATATTCAAATAATAACATGGAACCTAAGTCAGGAGCTGAAAGGATAATCTCTACTTTACTTATTTTGGTGGTGGTGGAGAGAAGAGATTGCATATGGAAACAAACTCTTAATACCCACTTTGCCTCCTTACTTTTAAAATCTAGTCTAAAGAGAATATGAATTCTTGACACAGGAAATCTACTGGTCATTAAGGTGCTGAAGTCATTAAAACTGAGGGTAGTCTACGGCCATATCAGCCTGAACCCGCCTGGGCTCATCTGATCTTAAAACTGAGGGTTTCCAAATGATATCCAATAAAAAACTAAGCACTGAGATTTTGATTAACAGTCTCAAAGTTTGCTTCAGTTTATTATTTATCAGAGGAGCTCAGTATGGCCCATATAGATGATTTCTGCAGTGCTTTAGCATCTGATTTTTTTTTTTTTTGACTGGTAAGGGGATTGCAACCCTTGGCTCGGTGTCATCCGCACCACGCTCAGCCAGTGAGCACACCAGCCATCCCTATACAGGATCCGAACCCAAGGCCTCGGCACTGGTAGCGCCGCACTCTCTCGAATGAGCCACAGGGCCGGCCTGGCATCTGATTTTTTTAAAAACAAGATTCCAAATTGTTATCTTGAGTTGCTTACTATGGTAGAAACAACAAAGTCAAAGCTTCAACTAAAATTAGAAGTCTAGAAAATCCCATATTTTAAATTTAAGATCTTGATCATTTATTCATTGTTCATTCAAAAACAACTTACAGCTCTTTGTCTATGTCTAGGTTGTATTAGGCCCTTGTGATACAAAGGAAAATAAGCCAGACATGGCCCATAGTACCTTACTAAATGTTAACACAAAGCCTTTCACCTACATTTAATAACAAATTGTTTCTTACAAAAAAGGATTAATGTACAAGAATAGGAACATACCCTGGTAACTTCCAAAGTGGAAAAATAATACTGAGCTTATTGTGAAGTTCCTGAAACTCGTCAAATGTCCGGAAGACAAATGATGGCTCAAGCTGTCCTTCCCTCAAAATTCGGACTACATAAATCTGAAAAGAAAACATACCCCCAAACATTAAATTTATAATGAAAACCTCCTTTCTTGACTTGATCATTATATGTAGTCTAAGTGTTTTTAACTTGGTAATATATATGTCACCAATAGGGTATAGCAAATATAAAAGTCACTGTATTTATAGCACATCTCACTACATTCTAAGAGTGATCATAACCATTTTAAGGTATATAAACAAGAATTTAAAAGTGAAAGGTATTTTATTTCAAGGGTTAAATATAATAAACTTCCCAAATCTATATATTTAATGCATTTCCAATGAAAATTTTAATAAGTAAGTTCATTTAAGGAAGTAAATAAGGTATGCACCAGCCAGCAAAAAAAAAAAAAAAAAAAAAAAAAGTAAACAGAGAAAAAGGCCAAAAAAAATATGGTGAATAGTAAAAAAAACTTGTTTTACTGGATATTTAAACTACCATAAAGTTACACTACTTTAGAGTATAATACTGGTACACAAAGAGTCAGACATATGAATAAATTCAGGAATACTTATAAACTTAGTATATTTATTTATTTTTTATTTTTATTTATTTATTTATTTTTGTCTTTTGTCTTTTTCCATGTCCGGCAACGGATCGCAACCCTCAGTGTTGCCCCCGTACCGGACCGGGGACCGGCAACGGGATCGCAACCCTCGGCGTTGCTCCCGCGCCTCGCTCAGCCAGTGAGCGGGAACCGGTCTGCATGTGGGATCTGACCCCTCGGGCGGGAGCACCGCCGCACTTCCCAAGCGGCGCACTTATCCAGTGCGCCACCGGGCCGGCCCTAAACTTAGTATATTTAAAAGTAGATTATAAGTCATCGGGGAAAGAATGGACTCAACACAACGGTGTGAGGAAAAAATACTCAATAAAAATACAAAAAGACACTAAAATTTCTTAATAAAATACGTGAAAATTAAAAGTGAAATTGTTTTCTAAAATCCATCAATTTGTTATAAATTTAAAAACTGCTGGAAAGTATTATCCAACAAAAATATTATCACAAGGGTACAAAATAACAGCAAAAAAGATGATGATATACTCTCAATGGGGAGAAAGCATGTTGTTCAAAAACAAACTTTACATGCATGTGTTGTATTAAAGAGTAGAATGGGAATTTAGACTTTTTACTTTATAAACTTCCATATTGGTTGAATTTGTTACAATGAGCAAGCTTTACCTTTGAAATTAAGAAAAACTTAAAGATAAGGAATGAGGTAAGCAGAACTGCCCCACTCTTTTAGCCTTGGCTCTGAAAGGAAGAATGTCATGTGGCCCTCAGTTTTGAAGCAAATTTAGCAAGAATTAAACACCAAAAAAAAAAAAAAAAAAAAAAAAAAAAAAAAAGGGATGCTTCAAGGACATTTACTTCTTTATGGACCATCCACGGAAGAAACAAGCATGAACAGAACAACTGTTGAACCTTTAGCACAGTCAGCAAAGGAAGTAGGTAGGACAACAATAATGTGTGCATAATGTCTACATATATTGAAACCAAACTTACATAATGTTTATCTGGGTTGTATTTCTTATGATATGTGAAAACAGAAACTTCTTTGATTCGACCATCTTGTCTAAAGGAGTATGTTTTGGGTGAAAATGAAAGGATGGGCTCATCATTAGAAGGAAGACCAGAAAAACGCAGCTGAGCAAGGTTGTGAATGAAGAAGTTAAACTTTGTGGCAATGCTTCCCAGACTTGACTCAATCAGCCTACAAAAATAATCAGAAAACTTGTTAACAGTAAATGTTCATGAGAGCACATGCTAAATTTTTCAACATAATAAAAGATGAAAAACACTTTCTTTCCTTTTAAAATATTAAGCAGATTCTCAAGGATCTTTGCCAAGGATTCCTTTTGTTCTATATGCCAAAGACCTGTTAAAATACATCTCACCCCAACATAAAAATTTAGCTCAAGAAAGAAATGATGCCTCGTTTTCTTGAGCCCTGTGGGATCCAAGACTAAGTTAAGAGCTATTAAGATAAAAGATGATTGGTATAATGCTAAAAATAATAAATAATGACTTCATATTTTATTTCATTGTAATAAAGGAAGAAGGTGACAACTAAACATGTATGAAAGGAAATATCCAAAGTAATCCAAATTTTTAAAATTCTCTTCTACCAAACAGTAGAATAGTAGAATTTGGTGTCAGACTCCTTCAGATAATCATTAATTTCACCCACTGGGGAAAAGAAGTTTTGGCGGGATGGGAAGGAGTTTGGTGGATACAAATTTGAAAGGTAGGCCTGGATACAATATTTTAGGCAAGCAAAGGAAACAAGAATCTCAGAAACAGGGTTAAGGAAGCCAGAAAGAAGAAGGAGATTCAAAAAGAGAGTGAGAGGACCTCAAACACAGGGTTTTGCCTTACTATGGACTGAATGTTTGCATTCCCTTAAATTCATGTATTAAAGCCCGAACCCCCAATGTTACTGTATTTGGAGATAGGACCATTATGGAGATAACTAAAGCTACTTGAGTCCATAAGGGTGGAGTCCTGATCCAATAAAAGTGTCCTTATAAGAAGAGACAAGAGAGAGTGGGACACAGTGAGAAAGCAACCACCTGTGATCTAAGAAAGGAGCCCTCACCAGGAAGCTAATTGCCTGGTACCTTGATATTGGACTTCCTAGCCTCCAGAACTGTGAGAAATAAATTTTCTGTTGTTTTAAGTCACCTAGTATATGGTATTTTGTTTTGGAAATCCAAGCAGTCAAATACATGCCTGCTTTGTAGTTTTGCCCAGGGGAGCCAATGAATCTCTTTTAAAAAAACAAAACAAAACTCATCAATACCTAAATTGTCGGGATAGTTTGGAAGGCTATACAAAGGTCAGCTTCCTTCAATTCACTTCATCCCAGACTCTTGAGACTAGGGAAGTCCACTGCAGTGTTTTATACTTCTTCTCCACCAAGAGGAAGATGGCAAGAGAAAAAGGAGAGAAAAGAACATGAGCTCATGTGCTCCTCCCTGCTGTGGTGTTATGATGATGTGGCAGCAGAAATCAGTGACCAACCTGGTCACCAGGCGTTTAGAACGTATTTTCCAGGAAGATCTGCTTTGAAAGCAATAATGACAAATTCAAATGTCAGCCACCAGTATGTGTTTCAAGTACTACATCAAATAAAAATAGTTTACTACAGTAGTGTCCCAGAGTTTGCTGTTTTAAGCACATAAGGTATCCATGAAAATTGTTACAGCAGAATTCTGAGATTAGTACAAACAACATTTTAGAAAGAAACCTTAAAGAGGTATAAGGCACTATAGAAAACACGTTTCTAAGAAACAATTCATAAATAGAATTTCTTTTTTTTTTTTTTAAAAGATGACCGGTAAGGGGATCTCAACCCTTGGCTTGGTGTTGTCAGCACCATGCTCAGCCAGTGAGCAAACCAGCCATCCCTATATAGGATCCGAACCCGTGGCCTTGGTGTTATCAGCACCGCACTCTACCGAGTGAGCCACGGGCCGGCCTCATAAATAGAATTTCTATCATTGAATTTATATATTAAATAAACCTTGAGATCACATTGTGAGAAATAAATGTCTTTTTTTAAAGTGCTATTGCAAATCCTTTACATTTATTCAGTAAATAAACTTTTAAAAACTACCATTTGGGCTGAGCCCATGGCGCACTCGGGAGAGTGTGGCGCTGGGAGCGCAGCTACGCTCCTGCCGCGGGTTCGGATCCTATATAGGAATGGCTGGTGCGCTCACTGGCTGAGCGCGGTGCGGGCGACACCACACCAAGGGTTGATCCCCTTACCGGTCACAAAAAAGACAAAAAAAAAAAACCAAAACTACCATTTGCTAATACTGTGAATCAAAATTTTTTCCTGTATATCATAATTTTGCAATACATCATTCGTTTAGACTAAGGTAAAACAAATCACAGCCAAATTTTATGTGCCATATCCAATATATGTAACTATGCCTTACCTAGTAAAGAAAATTGTAGCTTCTGCATCTGTAGTTTGGGGCTGAAGTGCATCTCTAACATATTTCAAATCTTGAATATTTCTAAGTTCTGGTAACCCTGAAGGAATCATCTATAGAAGGAAAAAAAAAGCTCTGATTAGCTCAGTTGGTTAGAGCTCAATGTTATAACAATAAGGTTAAGGTTCAGATTCCCATACCAGCCAGCTGCCAAAAAAAAAAAAAAAAAAAAACTTCTGTGAGTTAAATATGTTCTCCAACCCTTCCTGCAAGCTGATCAAGTAATTAGAACTAAAGTAAATAAACATGATTAGTTTTGAAGAGTTTGTCAGTGTTTGGGGGACCTAAGTGATTCTTTTACAAAAGAGAAAATCAAGGCCAAAGAAAGCCAAGTGACTTGTTGGAAGTCATAAAGCCAGTTTATGGAATAAAAACTGAAATCCAGACCTCCTTTTGTCTAAGCCTCTGTTTTTATTACCACGTCAATTTCAGTCACAATGATCATAGCGGGTTTTGTTGTTTTTTGTTTGTTTTTACTTTTTACTTGAGTATAATACACATCCAGAAAAACAGAAAAATCTTAAGTGTACATCTAAGTGAATATTCACAATCTGAACACACCCAGCATCCTACATGCTCTTCTTGAGCTTCAGTTACTACTACCTTCCACCTCCAGGGGAACCACTCTAGTGACTTATTTTTTGTATTTTACATAAACAGTGTCAGACAGTATGTTGTGTTGTGTTTGGCCTATTTCTCATATCAGTAATTTAAAAATATTTCAGTAATAATATACCTGACATTTATGACTACAGTAAATTTCATTCTAAAATCACAAAATATCCTTTTTTAGGCACTGAAACACAGATGCATTAATATAAAATTAATTAAATACTTGTAAAGAACAGTTACCAGTGAAAGGAGGTTAAGAAAGAGGTTTGCTTGCTTTCTTATCAAGTTGTAGGCCTGACAGCAGAGGTCCACAAACAACTGGAAACGAATGGTGGGCTTTTCACCCCCATTAATGACATATGCCATATCAGAGGTCAGCACAAAAGGAGCCCGATCCCTATTTAAAATGAAAGTACACAAAAAGTGTTATTCACAGAAGATATTCAAATAGTGCTACTGCTATTACATGGTTATTAAACTAAGCTAAGTGAGTTATAGCAACTTCCAACTAGGCAACAATATCAGGCAGTTTTTAATTTCCATAATTCTTAAAAATTCACATTTTCAAGAAAAGCCATCACAGAACAATCTCATTATTTACATAGAACTTATATGAGAAATTTTCTCGAGGGGGATATTTATAAATCCACAGACCGAAAGACAAATCAAACAGTAGTTAAAAACATACAGAGAGAAAAATTTTGTAATCATTGCCATTATACAAATGGAACTGGGGTTTTTGGTGCTTTTGTTTTGTTTTGTTTCGTGACTGGCCAGTACCAGAATCTGAATCCTTGACCTTGGTGTTATCAGTACCGTGCTCCAACCAACAGAGCTAACCAGCCAGCTTCACAAATGGAACCATTTCTCATAGGTATTGATAACTAGATAAAATAAAATATACCTTGATTAATTTCATCAAAGTTTGCACGCACACACTCCTTGCCTACTATGTGGTAAAGTCATCTCTTAGGGCTGTTTTCATCCCTAATTATGCTCAAAGTGAGCAACAAGGCAAAACAGCAAGAAAAAAGGCAAGGTTTGGGACATTAATTTGTGAAACAAGAAGTACCTCTTTTTTTTTAGCAATATCAATAATAAAATGAGTACCTTTTGAAGCTACCAAACATCTGTGCATGGCCCAAAAACTTTCCAAAGTCAATGTGAAACATGTGTCCTGTGCTTCGAAGCATTATATTGTCATTATGTCGATCACAGATGCCTAAAACATAGGTGGCTACACAGCATCCAGCACAAGAATAGATAAAATTCTCAGAAGCCTATAATAAAGATACAAAATCATTTTAGGAAAGAAGTTATTTTTAAAGGAAGTAGGGTTTACAAATACTAAAATAATTCATCACTCTTTAAAAACATTATTTGGCTAGCTGCCAGAAAAAAATAAAATAACAACACTATTATAATCTACTCTCTCATACAAACTGGGTTATAGTAATAAAAGCCAGTCTTTTTTATATTTCAAAAACAAAAATGCCCTTTTAAAGGTGGTTATTGTTATTGCCCCTTCTCTCTAGCTTTTGTCTTTTAATAGGCTGGGATCCTACAAGTTCCTACATAGGGTACATGCTGCCTTTGAACAGCTTTTAAGCATCATGTTTGTGGAACCCTGCTCCTCACAGACTCTGCTGCTTACCACAAGTGGTATCACTGGGATAAAAATTAATCTGGATAGAATAATATTTTTTTTCTACTTGTAGGGAGGAAATGTATAAAATATGCCAGCTTATATCTTAAAACATCCAATAATACAATTAGTATACTTTGTTTCCCATTTGCTGACTCCCTATCTGTCAAAGCAAGAGACCTTCTTTCACTTTAGTCCTGCCCATCCTGGAGAATGCTAAAATTACTAATATGATATCGTACAGAAGGATACAGCAAGATGTATAAAATAAGTATTTTTATCTAAAGCATGTGCACTTATTCTCAAAATATTGTATTTCTGAGTGGTGCAGTCATACAGTTCTACTTGTCCACCTAGTTAATTTTATTACATAATCCCCCAGAAATCATTACCCCAGAAACCATTACTGATAATAATGGTAACAGTAAATGTTTACATAGCACTTATCACAAATCAGGCACTTCTCTCTATGTACACACATACTCACATATACATATGTATGTATACACACATAATGTGTGTACATGTATGTATATACATTAACTCATTTAAAATCTCACAGCAAATCAATGAGTTAGGTACTTATTATCACCATTTTATAGATGAGAGAAACTGAGACAGAGAGAAGTTACCTGCCCATGATCACATAATTGTTAAATTGCAGGCGCAGGATTCAAACTCAGGCAATGTGACTCCACTATGTTACATTCCCTCTTACTTATTAACTCACATAAAAAAAAGCCAAATGCATAAAAGGTGTTTAATATATATTTTGTATCAGACAACTTACCAAGACGCAGGATTCAAACTCAGGCAATGTGACTCCACTATGTTACATTCCCTCTTACTTATTAACTCACATAAAAAAAGCCAAATGCATAAAAGGTGTTTAATATATATTTTGTATCAGACAACTTACCAAGAATCACAAAAGGGCCAACATTACTAAAACAAGTGTTTGCTTCTGCTGCACTGCTTTCTCCAGACCACAAAGAAGTAAGAAAAGGGAGTGATCTTACAGTTTAAAATACCCTCAAAGGACAAAATTCCTCTACTTTACCTTCATAGGTCAACAGATGGCACTTCTGAGTCTATGAAGGCAGCTAAACGACATTACAACTGAGGTCTTCTACATAACAACTACAGTTCCTTGAAGTTGATACGACAAGCAAACAGAAAGGACATTGTTGGGTGGGAGGGAGGAGAGGGAGGGAGGTTTCGGTAATGGGCCACAATAATCAACTACATTGTATATCGACAAAATAAAATTAAAAAAAAATAAATAAATAAAAAATAAAGTGTAAAAAAAAAAAAAAACCAACTGGGGTCTTCTTATATTACCATTCAAGACTCAAGATACTTCAGTCTTCCTTAGGCCAAGTTAAGATTATTAGAGAACTTATGTCCTAAGAAACTGCCTTTCCCTCATACATAATTAAAAATAATACTAAAACAAAAAATGCTACAATAATAAGAAAAAGAGCTATCAATTTTCTCTATGAAGTGCTTTATATATATTAACTCACTTAATTCTTGCAATAACCTTATGATACTATTAGTTGTACAGCTATGCTATTACTATAATACCATAATATATACTACAATATTTTACAGCAGAGGTAACTGAGGCACAAAGAAGTTAAGTAATTTGCCCAAGGCCCTGTAGCTGGTGAGTGACTTAGGGCCTGAATTCAAGCCCAGTCTTGCTCATAATCTATGTTCTTAACTACCACATGATGTAGCTGCTCTTACTCATTTCCATAACTTCCTCCAAAACCTCTGGGAAATATATCATTCTGGGTTATACAAATACCTGATTTGCTGGCCTCTAAGTGCATGTTTGGAGTTTTTTGGGGGGGTAATTCAGCACTGTTTTCACTCAGATTCCTACTATTAAATGCATTCTGTTTTATATCCTTTTCTATACTTAGAGAAAGATGCTGTTTTCCTACCTTAGACTAAATGGGTATTTAGTCACCAGAGCTGGAAAATGAAAGCACTTAAAATTTTTGTAATATATATTTTTAAATCAAGTTGTTTAGAATAAGGAGATATGCTAATCACCTTTTCATATTCTTCTTCAGAGGGATTATATTTCCTCAGCCAGTCTGCAAGTGGTTTATCTTTAAAGGATCCTGTCACACCATACTCCACTTGGATTTTTCTGAGGGTATCTGACGCAGGAACTAGCTCCACCATGCCTTTAACAACAAAATATTAAGCTATGTGAAAATATCTCCCAAAAGTTGGTCCTTTAAAAATGTGTAGCTTTCAATCTCTGACATAAGACACCAGCTAGCAATTATCACTTTCAAAAAATCAATTCTGGCAGGCCATGCTAGAAAATGTGAGCAATCAAAACTATGTTTTGTTTTCAAAAGTACACAACATGTAAAAGTTAATTTTGACTCTTTCAGACTCTATAGTCTGTACACACCCATGTGCTAATCACCAAAGGATAACAATTTTAATTACTAACTAAATGACACTGACCTTGCTGGTGAAATTACTTATCAGATACACACTGTCCCATTTGAGCATAAAAACTTTCTCTAATTATGCATTTGGGCGAGATAAGAGTGTTTCAGAGTACATGAAGCCCTTTCAAAGGGATAAACAGGTGAAGATTGTCCTTGTATTATACTTAAGTCTCAAGTATGTGTTTTGTATTCCTAAGTGAAATGTAAATGCCTGGCTGGACAAATCCAGAATTTGTATTTTGTCTTCTCACTCCTTTAAAACAAGTATCAAATAAATAAGTTACAGGATATCTACACAATGGAATACAATGTTACTTAAAGACAAAATCCAGATGGAGAACTGTACCTTTTGTGTTTAAAAAAACTGTTGGAGGGGGCCGGCCCGGTGGCGCACTGCTACAGTGCGCCTCTTTGTGAAAAACTTCAAAGAGGATGTGGCTGTGATTTCTTCATGTGAAAAATAGGGATACAGTGAGATTAACACAGTGAAAAGCTTAGCACAGGGCAAGGCACATAGTAAGCACTCAACCATTAGACAGAAGCAAAATAAAAAACAAAGGGAATTGTATGAGCCTTCAAAGTTGCATGGAATTCCAAAAGGAGAAATGGGAAGTTCAACTACATGAACAAAATGTGGTAACAAAAAAACTAATCTAATTGACATGATAGGCTCCTATTGAGGAGTCTTACTTGATAAAACAACTTCCACCTTACAAGATTTACATGACAAAACAACCAGCAAGAATCCTTAAATTGACCTGATTTCCTTTTTAAGAAGATAAATAAAATCTGCATATCCAAACTTGAGCAAGGAAAGTTATAAGGCTCTCATACTTCCTAATGGATAAAATGGAGAAATGTGGAGTAGTTGATAATACAATGCAGATGAGTAAGTAAAATAGTATACTTGATTTAGCAATCACCTGAAGGGAGGTCTCTAGTGGCATGCCAAAAGGGTTGGTCCTTGGCCCTTTCTTGGTAAACATTTTCCCAATGACTTAACAAAAGCTACAGAATGTATGTTCTTCAAATCTGTTCACAACACAAAATAAGTTCATTGACAAAAAACAAACGAATCAGATTTTAAAAAGAACTCAAGAAGCTGAAAAGTGGTGGATCAAATATAACAAAGTTAACGTCGTACATGTGGGTCTAAGGTACAAAAGGTTCAAGTACAGGATGGCCAAGACATGTCTTAGCAGGAGCTAGTATGATCAAGATTTACTCATTTGTGAACAAGTCTGCCCAACCTTTTGTATTCTACAAAATCCAAGCACCATTCTAAGAGACAGTAGATTACCTGAACCCTTTAAAAGGAGAACAATCAGGTAATAAGGTAATTTAAAGCCACTTATAACAAATGGCTGAGGAATTGAGAACTCAGGATCTAAGGCCACAGTATTGGTCATCTTCAAGAGGAATTTGACTTAATTATATGATAGTCTATGAACAGAATTGGAACCAATGGGTAAAAGACATCAAGAGTCAGTCTCCATTATTCACCTGAATATAAGAAAGAATTCTAGGGCTTGCTGGTTAGCTCAGTTGGTTAGAGTATGGTGTTATAACACCAAGGTCAAGGGTTTGGATCCCCATACCAGCCAGTGCAAAAAAAAAGAAAGAAAGAATGAATGAACTCTACGGCTGTCAGAGCTATCCAGCATAAGATGGACTATCTTGAAATACAGTGATTTCCCTTCACTATATGCATTTAAGCGCAAATGGAATGGCAAATGTTGAAACAGTTATCAGATAAAATAATCTTTCAGGTGATTTCCTAGTGCCTATGATTGGAATCTGTGAAGCATTTCTGATTTCCACGAACCATAGTGATCTTTTCCTCCTTTAAAACGCTGCAGCAGTGCCTTTGTAATTCTCTTAGAGATTTCAGCTTATTAAAGCATATTCTAATTACTCGAGTTTATCTTTGATTGCTCCCTTCTAAAATATAAGCAGTACATATTCTTAGCATTTTACAGATGGTTGATACACAACAAACACTTACTGGATAAGAATAATGATGATGGTTGCTATTTACTGAGCACATAATATGTATCAGATACTGCATTGTTTTACATTCATTATCTCAAAAACTTATTCAATAAATAACACAGAAATCTGCTCTTAGTAAAACAAAACTTTGTAACCATTTTTTATTTTGTGGAAATGAAATTGAAGTTGGTTTAACTTAGAAATGGCCATATTTTTAAGTTCAAAAGCTAAAGACCATAAAGTCCTCATTGGGTCAATTAATGGACACCTCTGGGTACTACAAAGCATTTATTAGGGTTATCCATTGAGTTGTTTTTTTAAAGAGATTAAATCATGAGCAACTGAAGCAATAAAGTAACACTAGATTAAAATAAAAAACAACTGAGATCACAGTGTACCTGCATCAGGACCCTTAGGGCAAGTACATTCTGAGCTAACTTCACAGAAAAAAATAAGACATCAAGACACAGCTAACAGACTTACCCCTATCTCTGCCAGTTGACAGACATTTGAAAATAACCATCCTCAGATCTAGTCCTTCTTTAAGCCAGATTTTATCCATAATCTTTATCATCTGTAAAGCTAACATATCTTGACGAAGATCTTCACCAACCTTGAAATCAAGGAAAGAAAGTGAAACTTGTACCTTTCCAAAAGACTTAATAGATTACATACTACAAAAGCTAGGGAGGGGAAAAGGGAAGGAGGGAATAGTAAAATGAGAGAAGAATGAGATGAGCAGATGGCCTTTTTATTCTTCTACAGCATTCTAGAGAAAGCTACTTAACCTGTTGATGTCTCAGTTTCCTAAACTGCTCACTTTAAAAGAAAAGGACGGGCCGGCCCGGTGGAGCACTGCTACAGTGCGCCGCTTGGGAGCGCCGTGGCGCTCCCGCCGAGGCGCTCCCGCCAAGGGTTCGAATCTCACATACAGACCGGTTCCCGCTCACTGGCTGAGCGAGGGGCGGGCGCGACACCGAGGGTTGCAATCCCATTTCCGGTCCCAGTCCAGTACGGGCGCGACACTGAGGGTTGCGATCGGTTGCCGGACACGAAAAAAGACAAAAAAAAAAAAAAGAAAAGGACAACATGGAGGATCTTTGAAATAATCAAAATGTTCTATATCTTCACTGTATTGTGATATTGCACTACAGTTTTACAAAATGTTACCATTGGGGGAAACTGAATAAAGGGTACACAGGATCTCTCTGCATAATTTCTTACAATTGCCTATGAATCTACAATTAACTCAAAATTAAAAGTTTACTTAAAAAATCTATATCTTCACTGTATTGTGATATTACACTACAGTTTTACAAAATGTTACCATTGGGGGAAACTGAATAAAGGGTACACAGGATCTCTCTGCTTAATTTCTTACAATTGCCTATGAATCTACAATTAACTCAAAATTAAAAGTTTACTTAAAAAAGAATTAAATCTCCTTGGACTGGCCACTTGGCTCAGTTGGTTAGAGAGTGGTATTATAACACCAAGGCCCCCAAACCGGATCCCCACACTGGCCAGCTGCAAAAAATAAAAATAAAAAATAACCCTCCCAAAATGAATTAATTCTAACTGGAACCCCAAGAAGTTTTCATTTTCCTTTTTAAACTGGATAAAATAATTTTAAAACACATAACAGTAAATATGTTTTTGAGAATAGCCAAAAAAATTATGAAAAAAAATAAGGGAGATTTGCCCTAACGGATATAAAAATTTTAAACATAAAACTTCTGTAATCAAAACAGATGGTACTATTTTAGAAAAAGGCACCCACATCAGTAAAACAAAATAGAGTCCAAAATCAGATGTATATGGAAACTCATTATATACACCAAAGACGGTTCAGTAGAATCTATCTTTATGAACCTCTACTTATCCAGCTCACCGAATTAACTAAAACTCTCTATTCTTTCTTCAAAATATTCAAATTATGATCACAACACACAGAATTTTGACAGGTAATAGACTACTCTGTAGTACTCTAGTCTTGCAGTTCCTCACAGGTAAACTTGTATATTTCCAAAAACCATTGCCACTGCTCATGGTTGTGCAGTTTTGCACTGCACAGCTCTAGGGGGTGCCATTCACATCACAGTCTGTGAGAAAGGCACTGCCTGGAGTTATGATGTGCCCAACCAGCATGGCCATATGCAGGATCTGTAGCTCAGAGTTGCATTTGTTCCCAAACCTGTTTTGGAACAGTTTATGTCAGTGATAATACTGCACATAATTATTTGAGGTCATTAAATATTAAATAAGTAACTTAACCTTTGTAATTTTGGAAAAGGAATTTGATAAAAGAATTTTGCTCACCTTAAACATAACATTAATTTCTTCCCCCATTGGATCAGCATTCACCATTGTGACTTTTAGGGGCACAGCATTAGAACTGAAGAAGGAACATGACTGCAAATACAACATGGTAAGCATTAGAAACATAACACTGGAATAAAAATGGGTTTAGGATTTTTGTCCTAGGCATTTCCCCTTTCACTTGTTCCTTTGAATTATGGGAAATGAAGTAACACATAAGAACTGCTTTACAGATTATCTAGCAAATAGTAGGTATATAAAAATATTCTTGAAACTTAAATGTAGCACATATGAATAAAATATCATCTCTCTAGTCAAAGAAGCAAAGACTTAAAAACCTAGGACAAAAACTTTTAAAATTTGAGCTTTAAGTATCTTTTTAAGTATCTTAATCCCTCAAAAGAATACAAAGTCTTGTGACACTCTTCTTCCTCTAAATAACTGTTATCTGGGATAAGGTCTCCACTTCTCCTATTTATAATTAACTGGCCATGGAATCAAATATTGACAAAAACTTACCAATTTCATTAGCAAAAATCAAATCTTATTTTAAAATGAAACTGACTGAAAAGCTAATGTAAGATCATGAGATCAACTTGACAGAAACAACAATTAAAACCCAAAGTAGTAAGTAATTTTACAGTTTTTCTTTCAGGAATGGTGATTAGGTAAAAAATATGCTGAGATAAATATGGATCCCAATCACAAACAGACATCCACCCATAATACTTTTAACCAACCTATGCAAGTTTTATCTTTATTTGCTTTCACCATACCTGACCATATGCCTTCTTTTTATATATTATTTTGAAATGTAATATGAACTTATAACTATTGAATATATCACCTTAATATTTAATTCTTTTGCCACTAGACTTGGATTGAGAGGAAGACGGCATTTATTTCTCAGAAAAAAGGACTGTACTCGTTCCATACTCTTTTGGAGGACCACCTATGAAGAGAGATTGATAACTGTAAGTACATAATGAAAATGAAGATCTATTTTTAGGAAAACAAATTATACTGTGGACACAATTTGTAGAATGCCCAATTGTTGAATACTCAAAAAAAGTTCTTGCTGAAGAGAGATAATTTTTACTGTAAAAATAAAATTAGAATGGGCAAAGGCTGTTAACATGGGGGGAGAGTACATATGGCCAATCAACATACATGAAAATATTAAAGCCTACTAGGTCAAAGAAATAGAAATTAAACAAAAATGAGATGCAATTTTTCATCTATGAGATGAAAACTTAAGACAACATCTAGTGGTGGGAAACAATTTCATAATCTGTTGGTGGAGACAGAGGTGAATTCAAGCATAGGTTTTTTTTGTAGAGCAATCTAACAGAAACTATTGTAACTAAAAATGTACATAGCTCTCAACTCAGCTATTTCACCTGTAGAAATATCCTATTAAAAAAATACTAGAAAAAAGGTAAAAACTTTATTAAAGTTCATTGCAGCACTGTTTAGGAAAGGAAACTCATGTAAAAACATTCTATACAGAGGTGATGGTTCATAATTTATGCTATAAAGCCTTGTAATTTTACATAACATAAAGTATAATTATATGTTCTGACATGAATTCTCCAAGATGAAGTAAAAAAAAATCAGTTTGAAAAAAAAAGGATAATTGTTGAAAGAAAATAAAGAAGATCTAAACAGAAAGACACATCATGTTCATGAACTGGAAGACTTAATATTATTAAGATTGAAATATTTCCCAAAATGATCTATAGATTCAATGCAATTCCTATCTTATTCCTGATTACAAAACTTACTATAAAACTACAGTAATCAAAACAGTATGGCATAAGGATAGACATATAGATGAATGGAATAGAATGGAGACTCCGGAATTAAACCCATATATATACAGAGGGTCCCTGATTTACAAGTGTTCAACTTAATGATTTTTCAATGATGGGTTTATTGGAACGTAACCCCATTGTAAGTCAAGGAGCATCTGTATAGTCACCTGATTTTCAAAAGGGTGCCAAAACTATTCAGTAGGAAAGAAGAGTCTCTTTAACAAATGGTACTGAGATAACAGGATAATTAGATGCAGAAGAATGAAGATGGACCCATACCTCTCACCATATACAAAAATTAACTCAAAATGGACTGAAGACCTCAACATAAGAGCTAAAATTGTAAAGTTCTTAGAAGAAAACAAGGTGTACGTCTTCATGACACTGAATTTCATGATGGATTCTTAGATATTACACCAAAAGCATGAGCAACAAAAGTAAAAAAAATAGGAAAACTGGAATTCATCAAAATAAAAAATTGTGGCCGGCCCGGTGGCGCACTGGATAAGTGTGCCACTTGGGAAGCGCGGCAGCGCTCCCGCCCGAGGGTTCGGATCCCACATACAGACCGGTTCCCGCTCACTGGCTGAGTGAGGCACGGGGGCAACACCGAGGGTTGCGATCCCGTTGCTGGTCCCCGGTCCGGTACGGGGGCAACACTGAGGGTTGCGATCCGTTGCCGGACACGGAAAAAGACAAAAAAAAAATTGTTATGCATCAAAGGACACTATCAAGAAAGTAAAAGGACAACCTGCAGAATGAGAAAAAATATTTGCAAATAGTATATCTAATAAGGGTCTAGTATGCAGA